TATGTGTTTGTTGTTGTTTTTTAGAAATCACCTGAAAATGATTATAATACAAAATCCTGAGACTAGAATGGTTCAGTAGATTCTGAAATTTCTTTTTTTAACAAATATTATTTTTAAATTCTCAGCTGATTCTAATAAGTAGCCAGGTTTGAAACTCTGCTTTAAGGTCCACACCATTTGGTTTGTATTGGAATTTTGTTATGTATTACATTGATTGAAATAAGCAAAATGTTGACCAGAACTTGTTAACCTTTTGGACATAGCATGATTTTTGTCATGACAAGTTCAGACTTATGTTGATGGAAGTTAGGAGAGTGGAAATTTAAGGTTGATTTTCTGGGGTAAGATAAATCTTCAACATGTTTGACTTGGATTTCCTTGTATTTCTGATAATGGCAGCCGCTCAGAGAAATAATTACTCATTTTTACTTCTTACCACCACCCCCGTTGCACTAAGAATGGATTTCAGACACTTGAGAAAATCTTAAGATTATAGAAATTAGGTCCATCTTTGTTGATGGCTTTTGGGGCACAAAAAAAAAAAAAAGTCTTTGAAAGGTTGAGAACTTATAAGAAATTATGAAGATTACTCTTGTGATTTGTTTTCTAGTAACTAAGAACAGCTCTTGGACAAAGAAACACACACTGTTTACTTTATCAAAGGTGTTATTTATCTTGCTTTGTCTTTCTTCCTCTGACCAAAAATTAGAAATTGATTCCTTTTTTAAAAGCTGTGTAGTTGTTACTCTAAGCAGATTGATTTTCTCTGTTTTGGAAATATGTTGTTTATTAGGAAAGTGGTTTTTTTAAAGCCCTAAACAAACCCAACTTAACAAAGCCAGAGGTAGCACTGTTAGCATCTGTAGGTAAATGAGCTATATCTCTGTATGTAGGCTAGGATATCGGTGCCATCAGTTTAACAAAGCCAGTATAAAGAATTGTTTTTCAACTACTTTTTAAATATATGCCACATTTCTGCACCAGCTTCTGTCTTTTATGAGTTTTTATCAGGGTGACTCCTATGAATACATTCTATTTGTACCTTAACTCTTCTTACCCACTGTTCTCATTAAACTAGTTACCTTCTCTAATAGATTTTGGCTAAACAAATTCACTATAGACATGAGTAAAATGAAACTCCTAATAATATTTCCTCCAAGGTCACTGAGGGGCAAGATCACTGATGCTGATTTATTTATTCCTCAGTTATCTCATGCCTCTTCCTTCTTGTCCTCTCTCCTTATACTAATTTGAGGAACCTCCTACCCCAGTGTACTCCTTCCCCATAATTTGGAATTTTAAAAGTATACCATAGAAAGAATGTATTTGACAATCTTTATCTTTAAAATGTTAATTTTATGGTGTAGAGTTTTAGTGTGTTTCTTTGGGCGAGTTTTGTCCTGTTTTGGTTTTGCATTTGAATAGGGCCTTACTTGTGATTTGATTGGAGCTTCTGGAGCCCAGAACATTATATGTTCTGAACCAAACATTACTGTGTTCTATCATACCTGGCCCATTTGTCACTTGAGTTGATGCAATAGCTTGTTATTTAGAGAGGGATATTGATATCATTTTTAAAATAAGTAGCAAAAATAAATTTTTACTTAACTAATTTGGACATGAAGATTTCTTAGTATTTGTTTTAATGAAAATCTCAGTTACTCTTTCTGCCCTTTATCTTTTTCACTCTCTTACCTTAGTTTTTAAATCAAATCAGACTTGTTAAAAACTCATCATTGTTCATGTTTTATGTATAGTAGTTAGCTCTTTTTATTTCATCTATCCAAGCTTCTTAACTTCGTCCCATGAAATGTGTTACAACAGGACTATTCATGTCCTTTACGTTTAAAAGTGATTTGGTTTTTCACATTTTTGTTGTCATTGTCTCATATGACTAGCAGGACTTATATTATTGCTTATAATTGTGTAGATTTTTATTGTACCGTTTACAGCTCTTATCAGAACCTGGGAGAACAAGCAGAAAATTGAGCAACTATCGTGGGTTAAGAAACATTTTGATTATTTATAAATTTTCTAAATCACTTATGGCATTTTGGTATATATCCTTAGTCTATTCTATGTATATATTTGTATATAATTATTTTTAGATAATGCTTGTTATTATGTTCTGAATATTTCCTAATATTATGAAATATTTTTCAAGGACATAATTTTAAAGCTACATGATAGACCATGTGGATATACCAACATTTATTTAATCATTCTCTTAATGTCAAACATTTAAATTATTTATGTTTTTCTGCCATTATCACTAATTGATAAATCTCTGTAACAAACCTTTATGGGCTTCCTTTTCTGTAGGATAAATTCCTAGAAAAAGAACTACTCTGTCAAGGTAAAGAATATTTGTAAAGCCCTAGCCAGTTTGGCTCAGTGGTTAGAGGCCTGTGGACTGAAGGGTCCCGGGTTCGATTCCAGCCAAGGGCACATACCTCAGTTGCAGGCTTGATCCCTGGCCCCAGTTGGGGCGCATGCGGGAGGCAACCAATTGATGTCTCTCTCTCTCCCTCTCTCTCTCTTCCACTCCTTCTGAAAAGCAACAAAAAAAAATATCCTCAGATGAGGATTAAAAAAAAAAGAATATTTGTAAAGCCACTAATACAGGTTTTTTAAATGCCCTCTTAGAAAGGTTTTACCAATTTATATCCAAAGTTTGCTATAATAGAATGCAAGACTTTTTTCTGCCTAAGTTCTGAGTGTTTGTCTCCTTAATGATTTTCTCCTTAGAATAAGCAGGTGAAAATAACTTTTGGGTTCTCTTGCAAGAATAATAACCAGTATGGAATAATGATGTATCACAACAACCGACTCATAAAGTCCTTTGAGAAGGTGGGATGCCAGGTGAAGGTGAGTGATTAATGTTTCTTTGTCACACAAGACTAAAAAGAGTAGGAAGAGGATTTAAAATTTGCAAAGGGAATTAAGTCATTAATGGCTTTTACTCCCATCTTATGATGATTGTTAAATCTTATCCTGGAATTCTATGTTGCCAGTGAGCCATCTTGTGTTGAAAAACTCTATTTCTCAATCTTCATAGATGTTAACATGGAAACTACTGAATGCATTTCTAGGTAACTATTAATAAGAGGTAGAATCAGAACACCAGCAACTCTGCCATGTATATAAGCCTACTAGAGTTGGAGGTAGCTTTTTATATATTCTTGGGGAGACAATAAGGCATAATGGAAGGTACATAAAATTTAGTGGTTGATGGACAGGATTTGAGTACTGGCTTTTCCACTTACAAGCTGTGCAACCTAGTCACTTAATTTCTCTGAGGCTCAGTTTCTTACCTGCAGAATGGGAACCACAATAATTTTACCTGCTCTGCCTACCTTATAGCTTACAAGGTTGAGACATTTAAATGGGATAAATTATGTGAAAATGCTTTATAAACCAAACTATACAAATATTACCATCACCTTTAATGTCTTAATGACAATTTAAAGTACAAATATCCACAAGTATTCCATTCATTCCTATTTTACAGATAAGATTGCTAAAGCACAAAGAATGATAAACTGCTTTATATTACACAGTAGGGCAAACTTATATTAGACCCAGGATAGCTAGTTTTCAGCCTATGTTGATTTTCCTTGTTATATCATCTTTATACAACTCAGGTTTGTGTGCTAGTCTAACTACACCTTGACTCAATTCCTTCCATTAAACAATAAAAAAGAGCCTGGCTGCATGGCTAAGTGGGTGAGCATCGACCTATGATCCAGGAGATCACGGTTCAATTCCCAGTCAGGGCACATGCCCGGGTTGCAGACTCGATCCCGTGTGAGGTGTGCAGGAGTCAGTCAATCAGTGACTCTCTCATCATTGATGTTTCTATCTCTCTCTTTCCCTCTCCCTTCCTTTCTCTGAAATCAATAAAGACATATTTTTTAAAAAGAATAAAAAAAGATTTTCAATCCAAAAATACCTTGTATCAATTTGTAATTAATAACTACTGCAAGTCTGACTCACGTTAGTAGTTGATTAGTGGCCCAATTGTTTATTTTAACAGAGTGTGATGATTGCATAGCATTCTTAAATTTTTTTCAGATGAAGTTTGGTTTCAGTTCCTTAAAACAGTAGTATATAACTTTGATTTTTTTAGCAGTGTCATTTTTTGTTCAAAGGAAATCTTATGGCAATTTCAGAATATAAAACAGTTGAAAATGGAGGTAGTATGGGAGAAGTAGAGATGGTTATTAATCCTTGGAAAATCCTAGAAGATCTATAGATCATAGTTTGGAAATTTTGTCCTAGTATTTGCTAGAGGTTCCAATTCAATGTAATATTTGCAGTCTACTGAAGTATACTCTGAGTGTTTCTCTAGATCTCGCTGGCCTTTCCTTGCGCATGATCGTTATGTAACCTTTCTATTATTGTTTGGAATCAAAAGGAAATGCCTCCAGGCAGTCAACAGTAATGTGAATGTTGAAATTAATTTTTTTTCTAAGCCAACTCATGGAGAAGGAGTGGGAGTAATTGGAGTCATTGAGTGCAATTTCTTAAAACCTGCCTACAACAAACAAGACTTTGAGTACACCAAGGAGTACCGGTGAGTCACTCCCAACCTGAAGTGTTTCTGATAGTTTCTTCAGATATGATTCTGTTCTATGAAATATCTAAAAGCATCTTTAAAAACCAGGCAGATAAATTAACTGAGAATTCCTTCAAATCTATTTTCTAAGATGAAAAATGATTTGATTTTTAAATAAAAGCTTACTAATACATGATACATGAAGCTCAGTTGAGATAAACCTTACATTTAAAAATTATGTAAAGAGCATAGGAATCATTCAGCAAAATACTTCTGGTGAAACAAAAAGCCTTCGAATTGTCTTTTTTTAAAATACATCATCTGTATATTGTATTGTGTGTTGACCACCCAAAGTCAACTGTCCTTCCATCACCCTCTTTTACCTCCCCCACTCCCTTTCCTCTGGTAAGCACCATACTGTTGTCTATGTTTATGAGGGGTTTTTTTTCTTTTGCTTAATCCCAGCCCTTTAACCCCCTTCCTCTCTGACAGCTGTCAGTCTGTTCTTTGTATCTATGAGTCTATCTCTATTTTGTTTGTTAATTTTGTTCATTAGATTTTAATGAAAAGAGATGAGTGGATCTGAAATTATTGAATATTTTGGGAGGAAAGCAGCAGTTTGAAGCTTGTTCCAAAACAGTTTCTTGAAGCCAGTGAACAGATCGAGAGGAAACTATTGGAGCAGCAGGAAAGGCATGTGTGTTTTGATGGAAATATCTAGATTTAATAAGTAACACAAGTAAGAATCAGAAAGTAACTGGGCATTGAGGCCAAACCAGCAAGGATATTTTTAGGAGACCAAGAAAGGAGTTGTTAAAGCCAGTATGTAATAGATTGTTTTTAAACTTTGGGGAAGGAATGAATCACTCATTTTCTTCTTTCATCAAATATTATGAGAGATCTCCTATGTACCACATACTAGGGGCATAATAATGAAAGAATCCTTGATGTCTATGAACAAATAGGATGAGGTATATGCAAATACGTTAAATACCTATAATGTAATTGCTTTAATGGGGGATATATGCAAAATGGGAAGAACCTTTAATATGCCTAAAGGAGTAGAGGAAGGATTCACAAAGCAGATTATATTTGAACTAAAACTTGAGGGGAAAATTGGAGTTTGCTAAGTGGACAAATAGGGGAAGGGCATTCTACTCAGAGGGAAGTATATGCAAGGACATAAAAGGGCAAGTAGTGTTCTGGGAGGATGGAGAAAGAAGGTATAAGGACATTTTCATTTTCCTTGAAGTCTCAGTAGTAATTTTTTTAGAGTGCAGGAAGTAATTTCCCAAATCTCCTTTGTGTATGTGTGTGCCCCAAAATGTAAAAAAATTAGTTAAATGCTGTACCTTAATTTATCTGGAACCATAAGAATTTTACAATTAGGGCTTGACAGAGACAACTTTTTGGATGGCAACCCCAAATTAATTTCAGGGTAATTGGTTCTTGGTCACTAGGGCTACTCATTGGTTATGGTAACTACCTGCCCTCAGTTTTAAGTAAAACGGTCTTTTAAATATGAGTCAGGCTCATTATGGAGATCTTTGACTAGGACTTGACTCTTAAGAGTTAAAGTTTCGAAATGACATCAGTTTGACAGAAGTCTCAAAGCCAAGTCATTCTGTTTCTCTTGAGTAAAAGGAATAGTGACTTTCTGGTGATTAAGCAAATAATTGTGATTTGTGAACTCCAAATGTTAGATATTAAAAATTACTTAACATCTTTCTTATATTATCTTTGCCAAATCCTCATCTACCTTTTAAATTTTAGAGGTATTAGATCCTTGGTTTGTGATTTTAGTTTTAGTATGATGAGTTTGAGGTAATTGCAGGGGATCCAGATATATTCCATCACCAGTAGGTTTATTCAGTTAAACATGTAGGATTTCTGACTTAAGTTGCTTAATAACCTGCTACACATCTTATTAAAAATAGAAAACCAGTATATTATCCTGCATACAGAGCCTTTGAGGATAAAAATTTGCAAAACTCTTGTCCCAGTTATGGCATCATTTTCATTTTTACTCAATTTATTTTATATAAAATGAAAAAGTGTTCCATTTTTTAAAAAAGGGAATTAGAGAGTGGTATTAGAGAAAGTTGTTTGCTATCACAAACTCCTAAGAGTATTATAGATATCAAAACTGAAAATGATAAAAGAGATAACAGCCTTCATACTGCTGGAATGTTTTCAAATAAATTATGTGTAATATCAGTTTAAATAGTTGTAGATATCAGATTTCAGCTGCAACTATCAGGGCTCAAACTTACAGCATTATTAGAGTAAATTGCAGCTTAAGAAGTGCAATCAACACATACTAACTGAGCACCCCACTATTGCATGGTACAGTGGCTAGGCTTTGTGGAATTTTCTAGAGAAATTCAAGATATGGTTTCTGTCTTTGAAGAGCTTATAGTCTGTAATATCAGGTTGTCACATACATAAAACAATTTAGAGATTAATAAGATGGCTGTTTGATCAATCAAAACCTAAGTGGTATGGTATAGGAAAAATGCCCTGAGAGAACAGATAGGGAAGGTTTTTGGTAGAAAGTATGACTTAAAGATTTGCCTTGAAGGATACAAGATTTAGAAAAGAGAAGGGAGGGAATTCCAGGAAGGAAATTATAGCATGAGCTAAGGTAGTGACAGGAACTCAGAATGGTAAAAATATGGGGAGTAAGGGTAAAGGGAAGTAACTAGAGTGAGGGAAATAGAGTGAGATGGATAGAGTAGGGCCATATTCTAGAGCACGGGTTGACAAACTTCCTGTGAAGGTCCAGGAGGTAAATATTTTAGGCTTTGTGGGCTATATGGTCTCTATATGGTCACAACTGCTCAATTCTGCTGTAGTATGAAAGCATCCATAAACAAAAACAGTCAGTGACCTGGATTGGGCCCACAGGCTGTAGTTTGTCGACCCCTGTCTTAGAGCCACAGTTTCCAAACTATGTGCCTAGTTGCACATAATGAACTCACAGGGAAACTATAAGATATTTTAAATTTTTGAGAGAAATGCAGTGATACTAGACTTCTGTTTATAAACAATAGAAATTGTTTTCTATTGCTGTCATAAGAAATTACCACAAACTTAATGGCTTAAGACAACACTAATTTATTATCTTAGAGTTCTGTAGGTTAGAAGTCCAACATGGATCTCATTGGGCTAAAATCAAGGTTTTGGCAAGGCTGCTTTCCTTTCTGGAGGCTTTAGGGGAGAATGTATTTCCTTGCCTTTTTCAGCTTCTTGAGGCTGCCAGCATTCCTTGGCCTGTGGCTCTCTTCCTCCATCTTCAAAGCTAGTGATGGTAGGTTGAGTCCTTTTTACATCACATCACTCCAGTACCTTGCTTCTATCATCACATCTCTGATTCTATTTTGCTACATCTTCCACTTTTAAGGACCCTTGTGATTACATTGGATAATCCAAGATAATCTCTCTATTTTAAGGTCAGCTGATGAAACCTTAATTTCATCAGCAACCTTAATTCTCCCTTTCTATGTAACCTAATATATTCATAGGTATCAGGGACTAGGACATAGATGTCTTTGAAGGACCATTATTCTGCCTATCACATTATGCCCTCTGGCCCCCTGATATCCACTTACATCTCACATGCAAGATACAACTAACCCATACCAACATCCCTCAAAGTATCAACTATTACAGCAACTCAAAGTCTAAACTCTCATCTTAATGTCATCAGCTCAAAATCTCATCATCTAAATCAGGTATGGGTGATTCTCTGAGTCTGATGCATCTTGGGGTAAAATTCTTTTCCATCTATAGATGTGTCTATTTTATTTTCATATTTTGCTCAGAAAATACAATGGTGGAACAGGCATAGGATACCAGTTATAGATATTTCAGTTCAAATGGGGAGAAAATTGAAGGAACAAGGAGTCTCTGGTCCTAATCAATTTCAAAATCTAGCCAAGCTAACTCCACTAAATTCAAGGCCTGGGAATAATCTTCAGGGGCTTGCAGCTACATCCCCTGGATTTAAGGTGCTGTTTTCTGGCCTCATGGCTCCACCCTCAGCATCATCTTTCATTTTTCATGAAAGGTAGCATGTATTTGCAGCTGAGATGTTTCATCAGCCTGTTTCTTGACTATAGAGTTTTGGAGTTCTAACAGCCTTCTTTCATTTTATTCTCTCTTCATCCCTTTCAGTCAAATCTGTTTTTGTGCTAGTATACCATTCTCAAAAACGTTGTGGGTCTCACATGTATGTTGTGGATATTCACTCCATCAGACAAGAGGCTCCAGACAGGCCTTCCGTAGATAACTCTATTTCTATTATTAGCTTCTGCTGAAATGGCTGTGGAGGTCTGAGTCACATGTTTAATCTTTTTAAAGAGCTTTTTGTGACTGAACACTCTGACCTTTTGATCTTTCTGAGATACTAGCAAAAGGTTGTCCAGTCACGACCTTGGCTTTTTCTCTAAAGCATGCTTTCCTGACAGCGAATCTCAAAATTTTAGTTATCTTTCACAATCTGGATAGGCTGAGGATTTCCAAAATCATTAAGTCCTGTTTCTTTTTGTTGAAGAGTTCTTCCCTCAGTTTATCTCTTTCCTCTCACATTTTACATAAGCAGCAAGAAGACACCAGGCCACACTTTCAGCACTTCGCTTGGAAATCTCAGCTAAATGTCTTATCACTTACAAGTTCTGCTTTCCACATAACTGTAAGACACAATTCTGCTAAGCTTTCTGCCACTGAATAACAAGGATCACCTTCTGTCAAGTTTTCCAATAACATGGTCCTCATTTCCTTCTGAGCCTTTACAAGCAACACCTTTAACATCCATAATTCTACTAACAAACAGTCTGTTCATGATAATTTTGGTATTATATAAGGGAATTTGTTTTTTTTTCTCTACCATGCTCCTCACTTCCTTCAGAGCCCTCACCAGTGGGGTGTTTAACATCCATATTTGTACTGACAGTCTGTTCAAGGCAATCTAGGCTATTTCTGTTGTCCTCCTCAAATTCTTCCACCCTCTGCCCAGT